TTTTTATTGGTTTCAGAGGGGAAGGGAGAGGGAGAGAGAGATAGAAACATTAATGATGAGAGAGAATCATGGATCGGCTGCCTCTAGCATGCCTCCTACTGGGGATGGAGCCCGCCACCCGGGCATGTGCCCTGACCGGGAATCGAACCGTGACCTCCTGATTCATAGGTTGATGCTCAACCACTGAGCCACGCCAGCCGGGCTAGTAGCTGCATTTAAAAAAAGAAACATGTAAAAAAGTGAATTTAAAAAATATATTTATTTCAACTCGATGCATAAAAATATATTATCATTCCAACCTGTAACGAACATCAAAATGTCATCAATGAGCTATTTTGCACTCTTTGTTTTCTTACTGAATCTTTAACATCGGGTATGTTTTCCAGGATCAGCACATATATAACCACCTGAGGCAAGGGGCTGGGCGGTGGGTGGTGCAGGTCGGATAGTAGCAAGCTGGCTCCTCTCGAAACTAAAAGCCCTGACAGATGGTCATTAAAGCAGAAACGTCCACTGGGGAGCTCGCCTCTGGGACCCGCCTAAGGATGAGGACAGCTGGGGGCCACTTTGTGAAATCTCTTGCTCTTAACATTCTTGTAGACCCGAGGGTCCCAGCTTCCCCATGTCTGTACCCACACGCCTGCTTTATTTTAAGGGCGGGCAGTGAGGACACCCAGGCCCCCCTCCCCATGGAGCCCCCCGCTGACGACCCCCCGTGCGTGTCCATCACCAGACGAGACCGGCTTCTTCACGAAAAGCAGCAGCTGCAGGTAAGCAGGTGAGGAATATTCAAGAAACGGGAGGCAGGCCTGCCCCGTGCCGCGGCTCAGTGGTGGAGCGTCAACCTATGAACCGGGAGGTCACGGTTCGATTCCTGGTCAGGGCACATGCCCGGGTGGCGGGCTCCACCCCCAGTGTGGGGCCTGCCGGAGGCAGCCGATCCATGATCCTCTCTCATCATGGATGTTTCCATCTCCCTCTCCCTTCCTCTTTGAAATCAATAGAAATATATTTTAAAAAAGAAATAGGAAGCACTTTCCTTATCCATTTAGGCCAAAGGCAGCGCAGCGGTTCTGTGCGTGGGTGGTGATTAGTGCTTGGCTGTCCCCCCGTGAGTGCAAAGGGCAGAGACGCAGGAGATGACAGCTGGGCTCGCAGGAGCCTCGTTACAAGCTAGCGGCTGCCGCTCGCGGCCTCCGGCTCGTTCTGATGGCGCTCATTACCTTTGCGGGTGCCTCCCTGCCTGCCAGGCCCATTTGTCACCTCTTATCATCCTGACCTTCAGAGAGGGCTTTCCTGGCGGGAAGAAATCGCTTAGGAAATTCCTGTCGAGTTGGACTGTGAGCAGCAGTTGTTAGGAGGTGGATTGTAGGTATGGATTGGGCGAGGCAGGCGCTCTGGCAGGAGTCGCTGGGAGCTCCGGGTGGCCCCGAGCAGTGGACGGGTCACCCAGGGGCTGGGAGCCCAGTGGTAGCACCGAGCTATGTTGGGGGGCAGGGTGAGGACGATCAGGAGCTCTGGACGGTGAGACGCCCCCCCCAGAGGCAGGATGCTTGAAGCGGAATCTCCACTTGCTGGAGCCTGGGGGCCTGGAGGCAGGAGTGGGGGGCCTGGAGGCAGGAGTGGGGTGCTGGGGGCCTGGAGGCAGGAATGGAGGGCCTGGAGGCAGGAGTGGGGTGCTGGGGGCCTGGAGGCATGAATGGGGGGCCTGGAGGCAGGAGTGGGGGGCCTGGAGGCAGGAGTGGGGAGCAGTGAGGGAACGTGGAGCAGAGGCAGCCTGGCTCTTGAACACCCAGCTCCACAGCACGCACAGGGCTCATGTGTGAACTCGTTTCCCCTCTCCCTGCAGGAGGAGATGGAAGCCCTGCAGGCCCGGATGTCTGCGCTGGCAGCGAAGGACCAGCAGCTGAGAAGGGAGATGGAGCTGCAGCAGCAGCTCCTCCGGTGGCGGGACTGTGACCTGCGGCCCCTGCTGGACGGGCTGGCCCCGGGCGAGCTGCAGGAGGTCCACCAGGCGGCGAGGGACACCCTGGCGCTGGCCGGTCAGAGCCCCCTCCCTGCAGGACCTCCCGAAGCCGTAAGGAGGTACTGGTGACTTCCTGCCATTTCGGATCGCTCACCTGGACCCCTGTGTGGGTGCTGTCTCTCATGTATAATATTTTCCGAACGGAGCTGCAGTTCTTTGTTTTGTGTTTTTTTTTAATATATTTTTATTGATTTCAGAGAGGAAGGGAGAGGGAGAGAGAGAGAGAAACATCAATGATGAGAGAGAATCGATCTGTTGCTGCCTCCCGTTTGCCCCTCGACTAGGGATGGAACCCACAACCTAGGTATGTGCCCTAACTGGGAATCGAACCCACAACCTTTTTGGTGTACGGAGATGACGATCCAGCCAACTGAGCCTCCAGCCAGGGCCTTCTGTTCCTCTTTAACGGACTTTTCTCGTCTCAAAGAGTTATGAGAATTTAAAATGCGAATCTGTGTCAGGGATATAGGAGCGTGCCTGGAAACAGGAAGTGCTCAATAAATGTTCGAACGATTATTCCCATGAGTGTTCCGACGAAGATACTCACTTGAGTCAGTGTGGTCTGGGGTGCGTGTTAAACCATCACCTGCTACCGTGTGGAGACAGTGTATGTCTTTCTAGGGCCCAGTGCAATTTAATGTGAGACGTGTTATTTGTCACAAGCAGCGTGCAAGCTGGAGAGAAACAAGGGATTTGTTTGAATCCTCAGTGTGCATGTAACGCTTGTGTCTAGACATTTCACTCATCTAATTGGGTGGTTGTCAATGTGTATTTCTGCTCCTGGAATCTTGCTTTGGGGACCACAGAGTGACGGAAGGAGCAGTGGGTGTTTGGGGTCCACGGGACATCATCTGTCGTAGGCCAGGCACCCCACCTCAATCATAACAGATCCCCTGCCCGGTTGGTGGGGTTGAGCGTTGACCTGTGAACCGGGAGGTCAGGGTTCAATTCTTGGTCAGGGCACATGCCCGGGTTGCGGGCTCGATCTCCAGTGTGGGGCGTGCAGGAGGCAGCGGATCCATGAGTCTCTCTCATCATTGATGTTTCTCTCTCTCTCCCTCTCCCTTCCTTTCTGAAATCAATAGGAATATATTGTTTAATAAACTTTGTTTAATAGAGTTCTACTGCTAAAAATAGCACGCGAGCCACTGGCAGGGGGCATGGATTATTCATGTTCCCCCGCCCCCCCGCCGCGTTCATTCCCTGTCTACCCCAGGGAGGCAACGAACGTTAACATTAGCCTGAGCAAAACATAATTAGGCAGGTAAATCTACTGCAAGACGTAATATAGCATAAATTACATAAATTAAATATAAATCAGATCAAACAGAAAACAACGCGGTCAATTACGCGCATCGCTGCCTCCCTGCTCTCGCCCGAGTCTCTAAAGAGGCTGATGTTCTCTCTGGGAAAGCCAGAGCTGAGTCAGCCCGGAGGGTGGTGCTTGCCTGCCCCCCTGGGCGTTCGCTGAAGATGCTGCCCTGGGGGTCAGCTCCGTTCCAGGGTCCTAAGTGGACCCACTGCCCATCTGTCCTGTGAATGCGTGAATCAGTCTTTGAGTGTGGCTGGGAACACCTGTTTTTTAAAACTGTTTTTAATGATGTCAGAGAGGAAGGGAGAGGGAGAGAGAGAGAGAAACATCAATGATGAGAGAGACTCATGGATCCGCTGCCTCCTGCACGCCCCCTATTGGGGCTCGAGCCTGCAACCCAGCATGTGCCCAGACCGGGAATCAAACCGTGACCTCCTGGCTCATAGGTCAACGCTCGACCACTGAGCCACGCCAAACGGGCATAGGTAGATGTACTTCAAATTCGTGCATCTCCTGTGTGCTCCCCCCACTGCCACACACAGCAGGCGCTCGGCACGGATGGGTGGGATGACACCGTGTCCCCAAACAGATCAGCGGGTGACCGGCCTATGAACTGCATCCCGCGTAGACCTTCGTGTTTGGAAGGTAGTTGCAGGGACGTGAATGTTAACCCTCTGTCGCCAGGAGCATCTCTGGGGCGTTCCTGCCCCCTGTCAGTAGATGTGCCTTGTGGAGTTTAACGTTGGCCTAAGCCAGTGGTCGGCAAACCGCGGCTCGCAAGCCACATGCGACTCTTTGGCCCCGTGGCATGGGCCACGAAGTTTCAATCGCACTGTACGTGCGCGCCCGCACGTGGTATTTTGTGGAAGAGCCACACTCAAGGGGCCAATTTGCTGACCACTGGCGTAAGCAGAGCATCACCCGGGAGGGGCAGTCCGTTTCCCGCCGGCATATTAACGCCACAGCCAAAGGGAGCCCCTTTGGCATCGTCTTTCCTTCTGTTCTTCAGCCAGTGGGCCGACGGGTGTCCCGCATGGGTTGGGATGGAACGGTAACTCCCAGGAGACCAAGGTCCTCTCTTTCGTTCCTTCTTCCAGCCTCCAGGAAAGGCTGAAACCCCTCCACTGGTCCCTGGGAGAAATCGCTGCGAAGGTAAGGCCTCCCCACGCCCGTTCCCTAAAGAGATCGCGCTTCGCTGCCTTCTCAGTTGTCCCCAATGAGGACTCAGGCGTGTCTCTCTCCCCCCAGGTGTGCAGGACCCAGAGGCTGTGCGGCTCCCTGCGGAGGAGCCTTCACGAGATCGAGACCCAGCTTCCGGTGTTGCTGGAGGCCAAAATGCTCGCCGTGTCAGGTAACCGCTGCCCAGCCGGCCACCTCCAGCTCTGGTGGCTGAAAACATCGTTTCTTTAAGAGCTTAAGACTCCCCGGGCTCTCTGTCATTCCGGCCGGTGTTTCCGTGAAGTTATGTGCCTGTAGGTGCTCAGTGGGGCGGCCGAGGGGCCTGGTGACAAGACCCACGAATAGATGGGCGGCGAGGTCTCCTTATGAAGGGATGGGTGAGCCTCGTACAGATACACGTGCACACGTGATAGGGAGGAAGTTATCTGTGGGTACCCTATTTGGGACTTCCACTTCCTGTTTCTTTTCTTGTTTTTCATCTTTTTAAAATCTATTTTGTTGATTTCAAAGAGGAAGGGAGAGGGAGAGAGAGATGGAAACATCGGTGATGAGAATCATGGATGGGCTGCCTCCTGCACGTCCCCTACTGGGGATGGAGCCGCAACCCGGTCTGGGCACACGCCTGGGGAATTGAACCGTGACCTCCTAGTTCATAGGTCGATGCTCAGCCACTGAGCCACGCCGTTTGGGCCACTTTCTGTGTTTGTTTGTTTTTAAGAGTTTAAGACTACAGGTGCTCAATGTCCTTCTAGACCAGCGGTTCTCAACCTTCTGGCCCTTTAAATACAGTTCCTCATGCTGTGACCCAACCATAACATTATTTTCGTTGCTACTTCATCGCTGTCATGTTGCTACTGTTATGAATCATCATGTAAATATCTGATATGCAGGATGGTCTTAGGCGACCCCTGTGAAAGGGTCGTTCGACCACCAAAGGGGTCGAGACCCACAGGTTGAGAACCGCTGATTTAACGGAACGTATGATCGTCCCAGGTCTGGGCTTTCTGTGGCTTTAAGAAGGAAGGTAATTCCTGGCAGCTTCTGTCTTCACGTCATTAAACAAGTACCGCTGGCAGCTAACGAGCAATTTGGCTCCCGGCGCGGCCACGCGGGTTATTTACAACCAGGAGGACACGAAAGGGGGGCGTGGGGCTCGGCTCTTCACGGCGTCACGAGCCATTTCCTTGGAGTGATGGCCCCATTGGCTGAGAGAGAGACGGGAAGAGTGAACACGGTCTCGCTTCGAGCTGGGGCTCTGCCTGCCTCCATCAGCGCGTCCTTCCCGAGGGTACAGGCGGACATGTCTCCATGAAGCCCAGGGGAGGCGGTATGTCATTCAGGCAGCGGAGCCGGCCCTCTCCGCCGTGGGGATGATCTCTCGTTAGAATCCCAGGAGAAACGCGTGGGAAGGTGTCTTGCATTTGGGGCCTGGGGCTTTCTGTTTTGTTCCCCGATCAGCTGAGGAAATCGGTGTCACCTGAAGAATTGGGCTGGGAACTCACCTCTTTTTTTAAAAAAATATATTTGTATTGATTTCAGATAGAAATGTCATTGATGAGAGAGAATCACGGATCGGCTACCTCCTGCACACCCCCTACTAGGGATCGAGCCTGCAACCCGGGCATGTGCCCTGATGGGGGAATCGAACCGTGACCTCCTGGTTCATAGGTCGAAGCTCAACCACTGAGCCACACCGGCCGGGCAGGAATCTGTGTGGGGTGGTGGTGGGGATGGTGGTGGTGGGAAATATTTAAACTCAGACTCGTTGAGGATAAAGGGAGACAGAACAGAGTGGCTAAAATCAGCTTCAGCTTTAGCATCTGCCTAGAGATCTTTAATTTTATTTGTAGAATAGAATATCTTGGCAGGGGCTTTAAAAGAAACCAACGTGAGCCCTGGACTGGTTTGGCTCAGTGGGTAGAGTGTTGGCCTGCGGACTGTAGGGTCCCGGGTTCGATTCCGGCCAAGGGCACATGCCCAGGTTGCAGGCTTGATCCCCAGT